CAAAAGATGAAACCCAAGATAATGGGGCCACTATAATGCCTATTATAACAGAGTCTTTTTCCTTATCTGCTGAAGATTATGAGACAAAAAAGATCATTGTTACTGATTCAGATGATGATGATGACGACGTTATTTTCTGTTCTGAGATTCTGCCTGCAAAGGAGACTTTGCCAAGTACCAGTGCAGTGGCACAAGTCCAGCCTACCACAGGCTCTGTTGCTATTTCAGATGTCGCACCTTGTGCTAGCAATAACTCTCCCCCTTTAACAAATATCACACCTACTCAGAAACTTTCTACTCCTGTGAATCAGGCAACTCTGAGCCAAACACAAGGAAGTGAAAAATTGCTGGTATCTTCAGCCCCAACACATCTGACTCCTAACATTATTTTGTTAAATCAGACATCACTTGCTACGCCACCAAATGTCAGTCCTTCACTTCCAAATCATAAGTCTCCTTCAATCAATTTACTTGTGCAGAATCAGCCGACACCGAACAGTGCTGTTTTAACAGGAAACAAGGCCAATGAAGAGGAGGAGGAGGAAATTATAGATGATGATGATGACACTATTAGCTCCAGTCCAGATTCGGCTGTCAGTAATACATCTTTGGTCCCACAGGCTGATATCCCCCAAAATACCACTTTTGATGGATCACTGATACAGAAGATGCAGATCCCTACACTTCTGCAAGAGCCACTTTCCAATTCTTTAAAAATTTCAGATATAATTACTAGAAATACTAATGATCCAGGTTTAGAATCAAAACATCTAATGGAGGGTCAGAAGATCATTACTTTAGATACAGCTACTGAAATCGAAGGCTTGTCAACTGGTTGCAAGGTTTATGCAAATATCGGTGAAGATACTTATGATATAGTGATCCCTGTCAAAGACGACCCTGACGAAGGGGAGGCCAGACTTGAGAATGAGATACCAAAAACGTCTAGCAGTGAGCCGGCAAACAAACGTATGAAAGTAAAACATGATGATCACTATGAGTTAATAGTAGATGGAAGGGTCTATTATATCTGTATTGTATGCAAAAGGTCATATGTCTGTCTGACAAGCTTGCGGAGACATTTTAACATTCATTCTTGGGAAAAGAAGTATCCTTGCCGTTACTGTGAGAAGGTATTTCCTCTTGCAGAATATCGCACAAAGCATGAAATTCATCACACAGGGGAACGAAGGTATCAGTGTTTGGCCTGTGGCAAATCTTTCATCAACTATCAGTTTATGTCTTCACACATAAAGTCAGTTCATAGTCAAGATCCATCTGGAGACTCGAAGCTTTATCGTTTACATCCATGCAGATCTTTACAGATCAGACAATATGCATACCTCTCTGATAGGTCAGGCACTGTGCCTGTAATGAAGGATGATGGTATTGGGTATAAGGTTGATGCTGGGAAAGAACCTCCAGTAGGGACCACATCTACTCCTCAGAACAAGCCAATGACCTGGGAAGATATTTTTATTCAGCAGGAAAATGATTCAATTTTTAAACAGAATGTAACAGATGGTAGTACTGAGTTTGAATTTATAATACCAGAATCTTATTGAACTGCTTTGAAATTTCAAAGTTTTGGTTTGGATTAGGGGCAGGGCTTTCAGAAGACCTATAAAACAAATTAAGGAATTTGATCTGCCATGTCATCTGAAGGTAGTTTAGTTGGATTATTTGTTGATAATTTTTAGAAGCAAATTATTCCGAAAGTGTGTAGAAATTGAGGAGTCCCATCCTCCAAGTATCTGTTTATATAGTTAGCTATCAGCTCATTTAAAAGAGGCAAAAAAAAACTTGGAGAGATAGTTTCCAGAATAGAATTTGAAGCAGTCTGAATGTTTTTTGAAAATAACTGGAGTTATTAGCATACCCTAGTATATCTTAAAATTTCCCCTTCTATGTTAGCACTTTACTGCTGAATTCTCAGTTTTCTTAATATTGAGACTATAAATGTGTGTTGTGTCTTGTATATGGCATACAAAGTAAACAAGAACTTCTAAAGTTGTTCTGGAAAATTTCAAAATAAGTCTTTACGTGGTTGTGTATTCTGCTAGTCCAAATGGATAGCAACCACCTGCCTCCCCCCATGAAAATGGGCTGCAGTCAAGTCTCATCTGAAGAATTTGTTTTAGCGAATTAGAATTAAATCTTGCTTTTATTGTCATGGTGTGGAAAAGACTTTGGTGGCTGGGACTAGTGTATATGTAGCTTTGCTATGTGGTCTCTGTGGTCAAAAATACGAATCTCCATAATGCAGAAGGAGGAGATGAAAAGTTCTGTTGCATTTTTGTGTGTGGAATTTTCGCTCTTATATGATAGAGACAGTGGAAGTGAATGGAGATTGCCTTTTTGCTCATTATGGTTAAAATAGTCCCATGAAAAATTTCAAATTTCAAATCTGTAAGCCACCACAATAAATCTTTATACACGATAGATTACAGAAATGAGACTCCTACATATTTTGAGTGGGAGGCTACTGGCACATATCTTTCAATGTTCATATTACTTAGAATCTCTAATAGGAAGTTTTCATTTGAAATAGTTGAATCAGTGTTCTAGTATTTTCCTTTCAGCAGGACCTTTTAGGTTTTTACCCCTTCTAAAATAAGTTCCATTCCATCTGCAAATTGCTGCAATATAATAGCAACCAGAAACTATATATGGAATGTAATATAGGCTTATTGATCCCCATTTATCTTGAGAACAGTAAATACCACTTTTCTTCCTTTGAAAATGACACATATTTAAACACTTAGAAAATAAAGTAAAAACTTATTGAAGTGCTAGAACTAAAAGGAAGCAGGTTGGAAAATATAGCCTAGCATTTATAACAAGATTAACTTGTCGAACTTCTGTAAATGACTTTGCAAAGGAAAAAATTTAATAGATACTGAAAAAGATTGTTGTGCATAGTTATTAGTCATGTGTAACTTTGCTTAAGTATTTCTTAATTCAACATAGATATTTTCTTTCTCCTTAACCATGTATTTTAAAAAAATAGTCTATTTCTTGACTTGGAACTTAAATAAAGCTTTAATCGTAATTTCTCATATACACATCATTCTGCTGATGGTAAGCTAGATTTGAAGATAATGGTTTCAGTGTTTCTTAAGTTGTTAGCTGCGGGCATCAGTATTTGATAATACAAGGAGAAAGAAAAAGTTATCCTTTGCTTACCGAGGACTAGAATGACATGCATCTGTTTTCTGTTCTGTGAGTCTAGACCTTCAAAAACCATTTTGTAAACTAATCCTTGGAAATTTTAAAATTACCTTATATCTTAAGACTCGGTGTTCTCTGGATTCACAATATCTATTTCCTTTATGTGTGGATATTGACAGCATTACTCTTTGGCTATAGGTACATTCTGAAATATTTTCAGTGGAAATTTGAGTTTCATTAATGCTATTTCACCAGTTAGACATCATTACTTCTACAAGTGTGAATGATACTAATGTGAGCAGAGCTTCCAGACCTTTCAGACTTAAGTGCTAGGTAAATTAGTTTGTCATCATAAAACTTGGTAATTTCTACAAGGCTGTTATGCCAAACCAGGAATTCTATAATGGAAAACTATCCATTCTGAGTAATATGGATATAATTTTTTACTGCTGCTGTACTTTATGTAAAGTCTGAGTATGAGATTTAAACTGTGCCTACTGAAGGTATCTTCTGGAGTTATTGGGGAGGAGGAAAATTAAATTGTATTTTTGCCAGAAGACTCTTACTTGCATGTATGTCAGGGTCTTCAGTTTTTCTAGAAGTTTATTCAACATTTGAAATTCATGTGGAATATTCCTTTGGGGCCAACATCCTTTACTCCCAGTATTTATTGGGTTGGAAGTCTGCAGCAAGACGCTGTTTAAAACTTATTGTGGGGTTTTCTTGTTTTATACTTAGTTTTCTGGCTATTGAACTTCACTTTTTCTTTCAAGTTGGCTTCAAATGTAGTTCTATGATGAATTACCTATACATATTCTGGATAGGAACTATTTGAAATAGCATTTTATTAAAAGAGATGACAGAAAGTGAAACTGCTTAAACTAAGCAAAGATGTTAAAATGCCATAGCAATTTAAAACTAGATTTTAAAGATTCCCTTTAAAATCTATTTTAAATGATCCTTATCATTTTGGTGGCAATTATTCTCCACATGCAACTACTATGAGAAATTGCTGCATTTTTCCTATTGTACCAAAAAGATAAAACAAGTGGTAAAAATGACCCGAGGCACTTTGTATGGTCAAGGCATGCATATTCTAAAGAATTAATTGCTATTCAACAGCACTGGCTTCCTCACCTCTGTCAGTCATATAAAACATTGTTCATTTCCACCTAATGCTGTAATATTCATACTTGTACAATCTTCCCTATCATGACTTTAAGTTCTACTTTTCATTAACTGTTACCTGATATTAGTTCGTAGAGATTCATATGGCAAAAATAAAATGTTTTAATTGTGATTTTTGAGTGCATTTTTTACAAGATTATCTTTCAGAAGTTGTATAGACCTTTATATTCTGTTCTTTTTCAATTTTTGTAGCAGGAGATTGGAACTGTATTTTTGATGACAGCATGATAAAATTCTCCATTAAGTTTTATATGTTGGTTATTTGCATGCCCAATGTATACTGAACCCCAATAGTCAAAAGTGAGTCAGCTGCTGTATGTCACTTTAGAGCAGTGATTTTCAACTGTTTTCATCTCATGGCACATATAAACTAATTACTAAAATTCTGCAGCACACCGAAAAAAATATTTTTTTACTGATCTTACAAAAAATAGGTATAATTTTTATTCACTCACACTGGACAGCTCTTGTTGTGTTGGCTGTTGTCATTTTTTTAATTTGACAGTCTAAGGGAAAAGAGGTCAGTGTTCCTGACTAAATAGTCAGGTATTTCATGTTTTAAAAATTCTTGTAGCACATGGGTTGAAAATCACTGCTTTACAACGTTTATGCCACTTTTGTAGATTCCATAAAGACGGATGTAAGTGGACAAGGAGGATCGTTTTATTAATTTGAAACATCACAAAAACAGTCTGAATTTCCAACATGGCAGTGATAAAGATTTTAAGCAACATCCAGCTTATAGATTCTGGGTTAATATTTTAACATTTCATGCCCAGTTCAATACTTTAAAGCAGAATTAGGAATAAAGCAGTAAATATTACAAAATACAGTCAAGGTACATATTGGAAATACAAATTCCTTACAGCAAATGTTCTGCAAAAGAGTAAAGCTGCATATATTAATTTTTTCTAAGGTAATGTGCACTTCATATAATTCAATGTAATAAAAAAAGCTGCTCAAATTAAGTGTTACAAAATCTGTACTGTTTCAAGTTATTTTGTAAAGTAAGAAAAATATATAGAAATGAGCTATAGAATCTTAACACTAAGAAATGTGATAAATGTAGGATATACTGTGTAATGGTGCTTTTAAAAAATTAAATACTCATATACATTCACTAAAGCAAAAGGTAAAGTGTAAACAGCAAAAAATTTCATTGAGTGTTATAAGTTGATATTTGAAGTGTAAGTCAATTGGTTGTTAGTCCCCTTTTGAAATCCAACAGAATTTTAATATGCTCAGAACTATAGAAAATAGTAATTTTATATAACACAAAAACAATTATAGTTTTTCAGATTTGAAATCTGGATGAGACAACATTCATGGTGCTGAAAGTTAAACTGAATGTCTTGTAAATGTACTTGTGCCTTGATAGTTCTTGATGACTGGGTGTCTGCAAGGTAGATTGCCTGCTACCTCTAATCCATCAAGTCGGGAGTTAGCTCAATTGGCTGGAAAATTTTCCTGTGTGTATTCTGTTTGCAGAACTGTCTAATTAGGTACTCTCCTATAGCCCCTGTGTTTTTACATGATACAAGTGTAGGATTATCAATCATTCTTTAAATCAATCTTTGGGTTAACAAAAGATTGCAATGAAAGTGTTTATTTTGAAGTGAAGGCATGAGTGCCAAAGTGTTAAATTCATCAGGTTGATGGTTTAAAGCTATGTCTAATGAAAAGAACTGTACAAATACCTACCACAATATGCCAGATGGATTTTTAATCTGCAGTAACACAGGAATTTGTCAAATTGGCTACATTTGAGATTTTACAGATTTAAAGCAGCATTATAACACTTTCATAATCTTGAACACTGTCATGATTTGTCTCAACAGAAAAAGGGACCAGTAAGAGCAGTGGCATTAAAACACAAATGATTCTTTTGGGGTAGGGTGCAGGATACGTGCAGTTTGCTGGGGTTGAAGCATAATATTTGAAGATTAAGTAGTCACAAAGATTAGTAACAATTCATGTCATGACCTAAGAACCTAATCTAGTATTTTAACTGAATTTTAACCATAAGATTTATATCTGTAGCAAATACATTTTGTAATACTGAAACATGTAGTAGAACCACTGTCTCCTAAGTTATCAGATGTATAACATATCTCTTTAAAACCTTTCACATGTTGCTCTCTATGTATTTCAGTGCTTCCAGAACAATCAACCCTATTACTCACTAGTCGGGTGAATATTGCACTTTTCCCTTTGGGAGGTACCAATAACAGAAGCTGAGCTGAATAATCACGGCAGCCATTTTCACAATACTCATAGAGAGGAAAGCGATGTGGGCAGATTTTTTCAATATCCAGACACAAGCAAACAAAATCCTAGTCAGAACTCTGCAATGGAACTGTGTAGCCCCATTGTGTGGGAAATTTCCCTTAGGAACTGACATTAGTGGTAGGGAAAGATAGGGCCTATAAGCCAGGTACTTCAGCTGAGGTACTAGGGTGGCAGTCTGCCAAGGGCCTGAGGACAACACTCCATTTAAACAAAATGAAACAGATGGCAACCACGCTTCTGCTGAATACAGAGGGAGAGCCATAGGGTAATGCAGGTCCAAACATGACAAGCTTCTTGTTGGGCTGGCTCCCCAGTCTTGCTTAGAGCATGTGTACTGCTCTTCATGGAAGTCCTGGGTTCAGACTAGCCACCCCTGCTCAGCACTGATAACAAATAAGCTTCTTTCCTATCTTTCCCTAGCCTGGCAGGCCGTTGTAAAACTTGAAACTATGCGTAAGAATCACACTTTAAATTGTGTACCCTCTATACTTCAATTAAAGCAGAAATACAAAAGCCACAATAATCCCAATAGCCAGCAGGCATTCCTCTTTAGGGGCTGTAAGGTGGTGGCTTTTCAAAAGGCGGGTAGTAGGGTGGAGAGTAACGGGGTGGTGCACTGGAGGACCACATGTAGCTAGGCGAAGGAGAGGCAGACTGGGGCTCATCAGAAACTCCAGAGGGAGGGGAGGATGGAAAGACACCAGAATGCTGTATAATGAAAATAAAACAACATCAGTTTGGGTGGCGAGGTTGAAATTCCCCAAAGTCAGTTATTATTTAAAAATGAATAATAGACCAAGTTTGTTTCTGTTTGAAACAAAGACCTCCTAAAAACCTCACAAAATTAAAGAGGGACATGAAACTGGGCTGGTCTCATTTTCTCTTAGTCACTCAGGCTGTGAAGCTCATGCACAGATATCTTGGTCTTCTCCTAATCCTCCCTTTGAACCCCTTTTCCACGTTTATAACTTAAACCTGCAATACCTCTCCCTGAGCTATGGCAATAGCATCCCAACTAGTAGTTTGGGCCTTAACATTTGAGGTTAAGTCACTAATACCTGGGAAAGTCTGTGCTACAAGAATATACACAGAGCCCATCTCATAAACAAAACAGAACAAAAAACTAAGGTCAGAAAGGTTAAGTGGATTTCTTGGATCTGGAGTCTTTTTTTAAAAATTGTCACCCAAGGATGTGTTTTATTGATTTTTAGAGAAAGATAAACATCAATATGAGAGAAAAATATAAATCGCTTGCCTCCTGACCAGGGATCAAACCCACAACCCAGGTATATACCTTGACTGACTGGGAATCGAACCTGCAACCTTTTGGTGCACAGGAAGACATTCAACCAACTGAGCCACACCGGCCAGGGCTGGATCTGGAATCTTAATCTAAGTCCAACAATTTCAATTTCATCTTAACTGTGGCCCACCACCCCAAAGGGCAGGGTAGGTTGGAGAGAAGAGAAGAACAAAGGCATGGCTAATAGGGAGGAGCAATCTGTTAAGTTGCAGACACAGAGGATTCAATTTTACTTTGTGTTCAACATTGGTGGTCTTTGAGAAGGGACAGGATTTAGATTTAAGAAATACCCAGTGAATTGGCGTGTTAAGAGTCATTTGCCACTTGTCTTTCCCTGAACCCTAATGGTTTTCCTTCTCTAGGAGAGTTGGCTTGTTTTGTTCATTGCTGTATCCCTCAGAGCTCAGAAGAGAGCTTGGCAAGTAGTGGGTACTCAATAAATGTTGAATAACTATAACTCCAGGAGTATATAAGATGAACTTGGCATGCTTTTATTTTTATTTTATTTATTATCTTTTTATTTAATTAATTTATTTTTATTACAGATGTTTCTCCTTCCCCCCTCCCCCCTCCCCACCCTGTCCCTCGCTCTGTTGTCCATGTCCATTGTTTAGAACTTGGCATGTTTTTAAAAAATGATATCTATTATCAAAGAATACAATCACACCTCGTGGAGACCATTGTCTTGCTCCAATGGTGGAGCAAGGTTGAGGCCTGAAGGCTGGAGGAAGCTACAAGGGATGACAAGAGGCCAGGGGCCAGTTTTAGGCTCTCCAGAAGAGCAAACCAGCCAACAAACAGGGCTGGAGAATGGTAATTTTCTGTTGTGTCGCAACTTTAGGAGGAACTGGTATATTAGGGGAAAAAATCCACTTACACCAGAATTTCTCAAGAGTTCAAGTACTGTTTCGGGGAGGTCATACCTTTACTTTGTTCTGCTGGCCAGAGTCTGAATCGATCATGTCTGTTTTCCATGCCAGGAGCTATCTAGAGTCAGCCTTGACATGAGGTTTCTGGAGCCTGAGACCACTTGGCTGATTCTCCTCATCCCCAGTTCTGACCACTGCCCAGGTTTGTAGGCCTTACTTGAGACACTGCAATATTTGTCCCTTACCACTTAATGTTAGGACTGAGAAGAGACTAGCTGCAATCTTCCTCCCTCCCCCACCCCCACCCATTATTTCATCTTGAATGAAAGAATGACATGGTCATACAACCTGCATAGCCATTCAAGGCAAAACAATTTGAGCCAGTGGACTCAAGCCAGATTGCTTTCTAAAATTTCAGTTTTTCCTCTCCCCCCCACGAAAATATGCATTCTTAAGACAGCAGTATTGTGATTCCCTAGTTTCTACTCGGTGCCCTGGAACCCTTTCTCCTTCTCTCCCTCTCTCTTCTGCTTTCTTCAACTAAGAACACTGTCCTCTTAACCAGAGTAGAGAGCAAAACCCCACCAGGGACCAGATCTCTGTGCTGGGGGTGTGGTACTCTGCCCTTTTAAATCCAGCTCCAGGATGGGGAAAGTCAGAAGATCATTTTTATCTGTTCCCAGCCACAAAAGGGAGGGGTGAATTTCCTACAGTGGAGCTAAAAGAAGTTCTGTCCTGAGAGGCATTTAAAGGCTTCTGTGGGCAGCAGCTGCTGTAGGTGGCAGTTGTACACTTTGATAATAAAAGGGGATGGTACATTAGCCTTTAGTTTTCACTTCTTACTTTCATGTTTGAGAAGTATTAGAGGGGGAAGGGATGGGATGATTCTTACTTCCTTTGAGGATGCTGGGAGTCTTAAAGATAAAATTTAAGGGCTCCTGGCAGAGCTACAAAGCTCGTTGTCTGCAGTCCACACACCCTTGGGGTTTGACTTGTTGGGTGGGAGAGGCCCACAGTACCAGTGCATAGTTTTCTAGCAACAGGCAGGCACTTTAGGGAAGATCTTGCTTTGTTGAGCTGGCCTGGTACATTTTGGTTCCTGCCTAAGAGTCAACTTTACTAATGGGACAGGCAGCTCAGAAGAACAAAGCTTTGAATCCTTGCATACTACAAAACATAAAAACATCTAAAGAGCCTACTGCTAGGCCTAGTCAGCTTGAGCCTCCTGAGCTGTTGCTCAGAGGCTGGGGTGCCTACAGGCTGATAGTTCTATAAGAGGAGCACCACCTTTTCAGGACACACACAGCTCTGCTATTCCATCTTAGCCTCCCCCTCTCTGCAAGATGGCTGACACACACTCTACAAGACCAATCTGCATTTCTGTCACAGTGGGCTCCTCTTTTCAGGAGTACTGGGAAGTAGTGACTCAGAAAATAGCCCTAGCACTGACCAGGTGATAAGGGTTACCAGCAAGAGATGCTGTGTCCCCAGGGGAAAATCCAGGAGCTCCTGGTCTTTATATTCCCCCCTGTTTCTGCCCCAGAAAGAAAAGCCAGAGTAGATGGAGAGAAGAGTGGCTAAAAGGAAGAGGAAGGAAAAGAAGGAGGAGGTCAGAAACCAGAGAAAGGAGGAGAATAAAGGAAAATTTTGTCAGGAGAGAGGAAATGAAAGAAAAAGTTGAGGGCAGCAACAACACCTTTTAAGGCTCTCAGCAACCTATGCTATATTCTGCCTCCCCCAGGACGAAAAGCAGGCCTTTCATTAAATGGGCCCAATTTACAATGGGTCATTTTTCATGGCTAAGATGAAAACTAGTGTGTACCCTCATGTGGTTGAATAAAGAACATAAACAGAAGTACTTGCATTTTTTATAGGCTTAGACTTTTGTTTTAAGCTAAACTTGGCAATCCACCAAATGAACAGGAAAGGGATCAGTCGATAGTTAGAATAAAGTAGGGGGGCTGGCCCAGCAGCTAGACTGGGAAGTATGGCTAGAATCTTTAAGGGGTTTACATAAAGCTACACTGGGTTGACTTTCCCAGCAGAGGTAGATACTGATGCTTTTGCCCTGAGAGACTTTGGACTACTTGGCTGAAGCTGAAGGACAAATAATGGGGAAACGAATGCAAGGGGCAAGAGAAGTGAGTGTTGGGAGATGAGCAGGGAGGCAAAGGTAGTCTCAGTTTATCTCCTTCCTGCCTCGGAGGATGGGAAGTTCATTAGAAGCAAGGACACCTTGGAGCCCAATGTTTGAGAGTCCTGTTTCTCCAAGCTCAGCACTCACACAGAATCCTCAGGGCCAGCTGACCAGACCCAAGTGCTTGCTCATGTCTGACCACAAGAAATGTTTCCCAAACTTTCTAATTGGACAGCTACCAGTAAGGACATGACTTTGAGGGGTTCAAACAAAACCCAAAGATCTCTTTCCTTTTCCTTCTATCAGCTTCGGGGTAAAAAGAAAGCAGAAGTCTTCAAACTTTAAGTCATAAGAATAGTCCTATTTGGAAATGAGAAGAATGGGGAAGTCATCCAGAAGAAAGTCTAGAAAGGTCAGTTTTTCTGATATAATTTGAGAAGAGCATAGGGAGCTCTGGCTTTTTAATTTTTTTTTTTGCGGGGGTTGGGGGAACAATCTGTGTTTCTGGTGGTTTTATTATTAGAGCTGGTGTACCTTTTGCTGACTGCTTTCGTTTTAAAAAAAAAACATTTTATTTATTAATTTTTAGAGAGAGAGACATAGATTTGTTGTTCCACTTATTTATGCATTCATTGGTTGATTCTTGTATGTACACTGACCTGGGATTGAATCCACAACCTTGGCATATTGGGACAACACTCTAACCAACTGAGCTACCCAGCTAAGGCCTGATTGCTTTCTATTTATCTGAGAACATAAGCAGATGTTTCCATATTCTCTTGACTTTCTTGAGTAAAGACTGGTATTTCCTCCTATGAAACTATAAGGGAATGGAATTTAATGAACAACAACAAAAAAAGCTCAACTCAAACACTAGAACAAAACACCATTTAAGTTCTAAAGGGAAACAAATCACTTAACATACCCCTTAAATCTCCACCATACAACTATAAAGTTTCCAAAAAGGAAATACAAAAGACAGCTTGAACCTAAGGAAAGAGCTGGGAGAGGTATGTGTCCCAGTAGCCCTTGCACTATTGAGCAATTTAATAATGTAATAAGAGACCCTTTCTGAGTCATGATTAGGAAGCCCATGATTTAAACAAGTAGAAATATAAATATCCTAAAATTAACTGGGGGAAAGATCTGTGCTGTGCTCAAATTTATAGCTTTTCCAAAGAACACTCAAGGCAATCTCTCAAATCAGACCTGGATACAAATCCTTGCTCCTCCACTTACTATCTCTGTGGAGAAGTCATTTTCCCTGTGACTTAGTCATCTCATCTTAAAAATTGCAATGACAAGGGTATTTTCATCAAAGGACTAAGCGAGATTATATATGTAAAACACTTCTTAGCACAGTGTTTGGTACAGCATAACTGTTCAACAAAGAGCAGCTGTTATTAAAAAATAGAGAGGCCTCCTCAAATCCCTGGAGGCTCTGCTATGAGCCCATGGGTTAGGTGGCTAGATTTAGATCCATTTGCTAGGTTAGATACTCTGTTTCTAGGTTCCATAACACTCTTGGTAATAGTTTATTTACTTTTTTTGTCCCCGCTGCTGTCTTCTACCACCTCCTCAAATCTAGGGATTGTGTCTCATTCATAATGCAGGGCCTATGCCTCATTCAATTTCTCTATCCATAGCTCCTAGTACAGTGCCTGGCACATGGGAACACAGAGTAAACATTAACTGAACCGAAACCAATAGCCTGAGTCACCACTGGCATTGTCAATCTTGTTTTCATCCCTGGAATAGTGTTTGATTGAGGAATGATGGAGAGAGAGATGGCTCCATACCCTAAAGTGGGGCTTCCTGTCTTAGAGTTTGCAGCAGCCACCACCAGGGACTCATTATAAAGTGAACATTCTTAAAATCAATATAATCAATATGGTTTATTTTGATATAAATAATGGAGGTGGCCTCTTTGGCTGAACCCATGTGTTGCCCCTCTATCTCAGGATGACTTTTTATTATAGGGGCGCCAAGAGAATGATGACCTTCCTTGTGTCAGTTTCAACATCCTTGCATTCTCTTAAAGGATTCTTTTCGTGCCTCTGTTACTACTGAAATTATCTATGCACTTTTTGAACATATCTATGTTTTCCAGTCTACATCATCTATTCAGGTAACAAGGTCCCTGAATTGTTTACCTGTGAATACGTAGGTTTTAAAACAAGTTCTAACATTATTATGTTTTCCAAGTTTTAATGGACACCTCCTTGATGTAGTATTATATTTTATAACAGTGAACAAATCCCTGTTCACACTATATGTACAGTTGTCACTTGATATCCATGAGGGATTGGTTCCAGAACCCCTCATGAATACTAAAATCTCTGGATGCTCAAACCCTTATGTAAAATGGCATAGGACAATGCAGACAGATGGCCCTCCATATCTGCAGATTCCCAACCACAGGTGGGAAATCCTGGGATATAGAGGGCTGACTGTGTATTTATTGAAAAAAAGTCCACGCATATGTGGACCTGTGCAGTTCAAATCTGAGTTGTTCAAGGGTCAACTGTATTACTATTGCAATGTAGAGTCCTAGACTTCCCCAAACAGTATCTAAACCAAACAAAAATACGCTTTATTCAACTATACGGGGTTTTCCAGTTTCAATTATTTTGTTAATCTGAAGCTGAAATTAACTTGCCCAAGGGTTTTGCATTTCTAAACTGGCTGTTTAACTGGAAGCACCCCCAAACACTCCTGCTTTTATGTCCTCTTGGAACATTTGTGGGCTCTTAGTCAACAGAACATTCATTATGAGCTTCCCTTCCTTCTGAGGTATTGCCTTTGGTTCCCAAATTTTGAATTAAGCAGATGTCAGTGTAATTCCACTTTTATGTGGCCAAGGGTTTACCACCAATAAAAATGCCTAAATGACCATTTCATTTGTTTTCCTGAAGTGCTCTGCACACAATGAATCCCTTTTAATTAAATGCCTTTTTTTAGTTCCGTTTTTCTGTGCTTAGTCTCTGCTCAAAAGGAAATAGGGAAAGTAAAAATTTGGTAACAACTATTCCTGACCTATTTGATAACAGGACAACAAAGGGGAGGGGACTGTTATAAAAAATATTTTTTCTATGTAGTCCTAGTTAGGAAGTCTGGAGAAATAGAGGGATTATTACATATTTGATTCAAACCCTGTGTGGCTCAGAATGTCCTTGTACTAAGGAGCAGGACTAGGCCTCTCCCTGTGGCAGAGAAATAGAAAAAGCCACTGTTGGACAGGGGTCCATGGTGAGGTACTAATGAGTACCATCTTCTCCTTGGTGTAGGTCAAGACAATTTGAGATACCTTGATCCTATTTCTTTCTCTCCTCTATTTTTCCATCTCTCTGTTTCTTCTCCTCTTGTGTCTTTCTCACCTTCTCATCTATCCTATCTTTGCATGCTTACATAGTCCCTATGTTAGTCAGGGTACCCACAAACTGCTAAAAGCCACCAGGGACAGAGAGCCCAGCTATCTCATAGATATTAGGGAGGTTCCATGATCAAGGAGAGAACAAGAGAGCATGAGTGAGAGTAAGGGTAATGGAGAGTTCTTTTTTTCTCAAAACATACCTGAAAGTCATAAGCAGAATATGGTGGCAGGTGAGGAGGGCTATGGTAGTAGGTATTGTAGGATGCCACTTGAGGACGAGCATAATAAGAAACAGTCGGATGAGCATTCTCAACAGAACAGTTGAGTGCTGGGAGAGTTGGGTTCTGTAGAAAAACCACACATTAGAAACAACATTAACGTTCATTACTAGGAAAAAGGTTAAACTGTGGTACATCCATACTACAGAATACCGTGAAGCTATTGATAAACAATTTAGTGACAGAAAAAGTTGTCCAAGATATATTGTTAAAAAAAAAAAAAAAAGCAAGCTACCGGTAAAACTATGGAGACAAAGATCAGTGGTTGCCAAGGGTTGAGGTTGGGGGGAGGGATTAGTAGGTAGAGCACAGAGGATTTTTAGGGTAGTAAAAATATTCTGTATGATGTTATAATGACAGATATGTCATTATATATTTATCCAAACTCTAAAATCTACAACACCAAGAGTGAACTATATGGTAAACTATGAACTTTGGGTGATTATGATGGGTCAGTGTAGATTTATTTTTGGTGACTAATGTACCACTGTGGGGATGTTGATAAAAGAAAAGCTATGCATGTGTGGGGGTAGGGAGTATATGGGAAATCTCTGTATCTTCCTCTCAATGTTGTTGAACACATAAAAGTGATCTAAAAATAAGTCTTTAAAAAAAGAAGCTACCACATCTAAGAAATCACTACATGGAAACATGAAAATATCTGAGAGCTTCACAATGGATTGACTCATAAAAAATAAAAAGGAAGCCACCATATTATATTAATATTGCATGATCCCAATTTATGTAAAAATAGAGACCCAAACTATTTTATTTATATATATGTATATGTATATGTATATATAGTATATAATATGTATATGTATATATAGTATATATGTGTGTGTGTGTGTGTGTGTGTATGTTTGTAAATGAAAAGAAATTAATCTGGAAAGATTCACAATAAACTTAACTGTGGTTATCTCTGGGGAGGAGAGCAGTATTAGGAGGTAAATGGGGACTCTTCACTTTCTGTTATACAGCCAAAGTTTTTACCACTAATATGTATTGTGTCATTTCCTCACAACTTATTTTGAAAAATTCAAACCTATGGAAAAGTTGAAATAGTTTATTTATGTGATTTTTTAAAACAAAAAAGAAAAAAAAAAAGACCCAAAATACACAATGTCAAATAAACAAGGCTGAACAGGCTACTGCTTTGCTGTGACAAAAATATGATGAATCACAAAGGGTTTGTAAAAGTTGTGAAGATTCTGGTATATTCCAACCCTGTGAAGGAGCTCCCATGCAGGCGTGAAGTGTATTTATTTCTCTTCAGCCCTGCAGGCTGGAGGAAAACCCCTAGCAGTGAACAGAAACCATGAAAGACCAAGTAGAATATATTGATTATTTTTTTTTTGTAAACAAAACAATGCAGAAATAATTGAATACAATTTTAACATGGTGGTGTGTGTAGTCCTTCAAGGGTTAAAGCTAATCTTGTCCAGGATGGGAGTCCTGCTCCCAACAGGACCAAAGCATTGCAAAAGGAAGTCACCACTGCTCAAAGAGGACTGTGATTCATATATTTTGAGTGCCACATGGGTCAAGGTGTGGAGCAAATTTTTTTCCATTTACCGTACCACTGATACCTTCTCCATTTGTATGGATAACTGAGAGCTGTTTGCAAAATCAGTCTTGTTTTTGGTACATATATACTCTACATTAACAGAGAGCAGAAGCTTACTCTTAAGTGATAAAAATGTGTGGGCATGCTTTGGCAGTGGTACAGGCAACCATGTTGGGGTGTTGGCAGGGGAAATTCCCTTATAGCAAGTTTCAACACAGTTCTGTTGCTCTCTTTCTTGGAGTGGGTTACTGTTTACATTTCTAGGAGGTTTTAAGAGCTACAAACCTCAGTCATGATACAGCTCACAGATAACCCAAGAAATGTTTCTCAGCCTCTCTCATTTGTGGGAGAGGGCTGAGATTTTGGCCATTCCAAGTGTTGGCTCGCTTTATAGAGGAAGAGTGCTCAGAAATACCCTTACCTTTCCACAAGCATTCTAAGAAGAAATTTCACCCCTGAGGAAGTCCCAGAAATCATGTTCCCTAGGTCTTCTGTCAATTAAATAAAAAAAACCCTCCATAATAAAAGGAGATATGACTAACCAAGGTGGGTTGGTTAGTCATTATACACCTTTATCAGAATAAGTCATTATCCACCTTATATTTGGTTGTTAATACTTTGGGTACAATAGTATGCTTTATCTGATACATCATAATGGATCAGTGGTTCATTGTGTACTTTCTCAGAACAACAAAAAAATACTTCCAAATATCTTTCCCAACTGTATAGCTAACATATGGCCAATTTTCATTCCTGATATAGTAATTAATTAATTAAACAAATAATGCATTAATTATTTGTATTGAGTTAATGAGGTAAGAAGATAAATAGTATTTCTATAACTTGTTAGCCAATTAGAGTATTTCTAGGTTCAATGCTTTATCATTGTCATTACTTTGTTTTCACAGATTTCTTTTCCTAAAAATGAAAGATCACCAATAAAATCTCAGTAATATCAATCAGTCAGTCAATCAATCAATCAATCAATAAATACATACCCTCCAGCTCTTGCAAAATGAAACCAGTTCTTCCATGCAAATAAATTAAGCCTAACCATGGAGAAACAATCATGCAAGGTAAACTCTATCTATAAAAGCTTTTTTGTATGTGTTCATCAAGTCTGGGAGGCCAGAATAATTTTGAATGGAAGTTGACTATTATAGAGAAAGAAACACAGAAGAAACATGAGAGGAAGACTGGGCACTGAAAAGCCAGAGAGAGAACAGAGTCAAGAGTAGTGGATATGGAGAAAATGGACAGGGCAACAAGGAGAGATTGAACAGAGGTGAAGCAAAGAATTGGGTGGGAAAGGGGCAAAAGAGATGGGCCCATATAATGGTCTGATTATGTTTTAAATTGATAATTCCTATTTTACAATAAATTTGGGCACTGTCTCCATTTGTATGTGCATACAGGAGTGTGTGTGTGTTTCTGTTAAAATTCTGGGTATAAGTTATGAGACCCCCATTACTGATCAGTAGCATTCTGAGCTCCAGTGAAACAAAGGTTACTTGGTAGCACAGGAAATGGTGAAAGCAATCTTTTCTGGACAAAACCGAGTCTGTTCTGAGACAATGATTGAGGACTTTGGAAAGAATGCCACTTCTATTGGAGACAACAATTAGGAGAAAATGACAAGATATAATCAGTTTTGAAAGATTCATCTCTAATCCTTATAGCTTTGATCAACAAATACTTCATCAAACATTTCTTGAAGATCCATTTTGCCAAGCATCTCTGGTCAGGAAGTGAAGATGTCCTTTTCAAGATCCCACAACTCTGGAAATGGTGGCTCCTTGCTGATCCTATTGAGGACTGCCAGCTCACAGCCCTTGGCTCCTGTCCTCACTTCCTAGCGGGGACAGCAACCCTGAGTCTCTGAAGACCCCAGGCCATTCTATGCAGAGGGGAGGTACACAACAAGTCATCAACCACATTTGAACCTAAGCTGAGGATTTTATTTAGGTTCACTTGGTTGATGTTCCAGGATTTTCTACACATGTCTCATTTTAACAAAGCAAGCTAAGTAGTTCCTCCATGGTGCCCCCATCTTACACTCCCACTAGTGTTCTCTTACCTCATGAATCAAATATCTTGCCCCCTGATCTTTGCTTTCATCTTTCATTTTCCCTACTGGTCCTTGCTTGAGTTCCTGGGCTTGGTTGGCATTGGATAATGATAAAAATTTCCCTTGCTCTCCTTTACTGTTAAAGAAGCTCCCGATAGTTGGAAACAACTCACTTTAATTTTTTGAAATTAAAGCAGCTAAACAAAGGACGTAATGTCTATTAAAACTCTTGTAGAACCAGAAAGAGCTGTCCAAATGCTAGCTAGGAGAAGCTGAGATGGAGTAGAAACAGTCAAGGCTTTGGCATATGAGAAACCTGGGCTTCAGTCCCAGCTCTGCTGTTTAACTCAGGGCAAGTTACTTGACCTCTGTTGACCCATTTTCTCATCTGTGAAATGGGGGCAGTAATACTTACTTACCTCCCAAGCTACTAGTAGTGGTGAGGAGCAGAGAAAGTAATTGTGCAAAAGCACTTTGTAGAGTAAAGGGCCATTACTGCCAACTATGAGGACAGACCATCAACAACCTCTTTTATCCCCCTAGAGAGCAAAGGTCACAGTGAAGTTACAAGTCTAGAAATAAGCCTAGACATCGATGGTCCATTACCTTTTGACAAGGGTCCTTGCTGGAACCCCATTTAATCTACCCAGTAGCTACCACCCACTCCATTTGTGCCTCAGGGTAGCTCAGCTGCTCAACTCTGAAAGCTCTAGGAATGATTCAGAGAACTCTTCACACCTGTCCTGATGTTCCATCTCTCAACTCGTCAACCCAGGTGCTTTTCCACCAGCCAGCCTCAGATTCTGTTTTCACTGGCACCTTGGGGAAACTCTCCAAAAACAAAGGACATTCTTTTCTCCAAAAAAGCCCCAAACCAGAAACAGCTTTTCATCTCTCTCACCCAAAGCTCCCCCAGGCCCAAACAGGAAATTCTTCTCCCTCCTCCTTCTCCCTCCAAGGGCTCCACCTTGTTGATGCTTCCCCCACTTCTCTGTGCTTGAGCTTTCCTGAGTGGGAGGAGGGGTAAGGGAAGGAGAAGTGCACATATGAAAGAGGGAGAGAAGGGAGGGGAGGGGAGGAGAGAGAGTCAAGAGAGGAAGAATTTCTCTTAGGGTCTAAAGTAGAAACACTCAGTACTTCCAGATCAGAGTCACCTGGGCTTCAATTCAGACCAATTAAATCAGAACCTCTGGAGGAGAGGCCCAGGAATCTTGTTTTTTAAAGCACGTCAAGTGACTCTATTCTCATAGGAAGCCAGGAGGATAACCATAGCTCTAAAGTTATTATTTCTATAATTTGAGATCAAGGTTTATTAAATAAGCAAATAAATGCTTAGAAATGCTTTGAAAACAAAAGAAGAAAGAAGCTCAACATTATGAAGCACCTACTGGGTGCTGAGTCCTGGTGTGCCTTTGCAGACACACACACAAAGATGGAAAGAGTTGAAAGAGAGGCTGGGGAACATGGGGAGGCTGAGATTGAGATTGAGGTTGAGGTTGAGGTTGCAGTTGAGAACAAGACCTGGCAAGCAGCTTAGCCCAGGGCTGGCTCTTCAAATGCAGGGAAAAAAAGAGAAAAGTCTATATGCTCATTTGGGAGAAACTCCAGGATGAAATTCCTGGGAGGGGGAAATTACCGTTACTCTTACCTGTAGCTAAAAAGCATCTTTCCTTCCATCTCTCCTCAAGTCTTTTAGTGGAAAACTACCCAAAATGTTCCTGCTAAAAGTGTGTTTGTGTGTGTGTATGTGTGTGTGTGTGTGTGTTGGGGGGGGGTTGAAAAGGCTATATTTACATAACCAGCATGAACCAGAGAATTGAGAACACCCTCCCTCCCCGACTCACCCCAGAATATACCACAAGAGCACAGGCAACTCATGTTAACAAGAAATATCTGGAGATGTTTGAAGGCAGTTACGTTCTTGAAGCAATTGCTTCTGATTCCTCCCTTCAAAACATGGGTCCCCATTGTTCCTAACTGCCCAGCTTGGTCCTGGCCCCCAACAGGGGCCTCTGTGGAATGGAAAGACACTTCCTTCCTTACCATGTCCTTAAAGCCTCCAAGGACAGCGGCAGTGATGATGCCCAGGAACAGGCCGACAATGTTCAGGATAGTAGCAGACCAGAGCAGGTGGTAGAGGTGGATGATGTCCTGGCAACTGCTGACATCGATGTATTCATAGTACCCACTGGTGATTTCAACCCGCCTAGACAGGGAGAAGCACGCTTCAGTCAGTCCCTGGGGAGTAGGTTGCCCCTCTCCCCCCAGGGCTTTGGCTACCACACAGCTCAACAAAAAACAGGTGAGCTATCTTAAGAGATATGGGGAGCATGTGATTGCTGTTTATTTAAAAAAACAAAAAACTACCACCTGCCAGTGAAACACTTGTTACCATCACCAACACTAATCCTAGATGACATTATTGACACTTGGCAATGCACCAGGCACAGTGCTAAGCATTTTACACATGTGAATTCATTAAACCTGTGCTAATATGGCAGTTACTAGTCACACATGGCTATATAAATTAATTAACATTAAGTAAAATTTTAAAAACTCAGTTCTTTAGTCTCACCAACCACATTTTTACATGTTCAATAGCCACAATTATAAGGAACACACTATTGGCTAGTTACTGTACTGGACAGAGCAGATTACAGAACATTTCTATAAGTTCTATTAGCACTGTACATTCTTACAATACTCTACAAGGTAGGTACTATCACTATTCCTTTTTTACCGATGAAGAAGCTGAAGCACAGATGGTTAGGAACTTGCTCAAGTTATAAGAGGTAGGGCTGGGATCTGAATTCAGGCTTCAAAAATTCCAGTAACAAAAAACAAAACATCAGCAAACAAAAAACAATGTTCCAATAAAAAACTATGGATGAACTTCTGCACAGCAAAATAAACCAACATCAAAATGAAAAGGGAACCCACTCTCTGGGAGAACATATTTGCCAATGGCACATCTGATAAAGGGTTAATTTCCAAAATATATAAAGTACTAATACAACTCAACAAAGGAAGACAAACAATCCAATTAAAAAATGGGCAAAGGACCTGAATAGACACTTCTCCAGCAAGGACATACAAATGACCAAGAGACAAATGAAAAAATGTTCTTTGTTACTAATCATCAGAGAGATGCAAATTAAAATGACAGTGAGGTATCACCTCACACCTGCCAGAATGGCTACCTCAACAAATTGATAAATGACAAACGCTGGCGAAGATATGGAGAAAAGGGGACTCTAGCACACTGCTGGTGGCAATGCAGACTGGTGCAGCCACTGTGGAAAACAGGGTGGAGTTTCCTCAAAAAAATAAAAATAGAACTGCCATTTGACCCAGTGATCTCACTGCTAGGAATATATCCTAAGAAGTCTGAAACACCAATCACAAAGAATATATGCACCCATATGTTCATAGCAGCGCTATTTACAGTAGCTAAGATCTGGAAACAGCCCAAGTGTCCATCAATAGATGAGTGGATAAAAACGATGTGGTATATTTACACAGTGGAACACTATGCAGGTATAAAAAAGAAGGATCTCTTACCATTTGAGACAGCATGGAGGGACCTGGAGAGTATTATGCTAAGCAAAATAAGCCAGTCAGAGAAAGACAAGTATCACACAATCTCATTTATATGTGGCATCTAATGAACAAAATAAACTGACAAACAAAATAGATCCAGAGACATGGAAGCAGGGAACAGACTGATGAATCTCAGAGGGAAGGGGAGAGAGGAAATAGGAAGAGATAAATCAAAGAACTTTTATGTATATATGCATAACCAATGGACACAGACAGTAGTGCAGGGAAGGCAGGAGGGGCATGGGAGCGGGGACAAGAGACTCAATGGGTGAAAAAGGAGGGACATCTGTAATACTTTCAACAATAAAGATAAATTTAAAAACAGAGCTACAGCTGAGTTGCTGGACAAAACCTATCATAGCCTTGAAGAGACCTTCCCTGAACACTCTGTTTAAAGACATCCCTCCACTCCAGTTCAGTCATTCTCTATCACGTAACTTGCTATGTACTGAATTGTGACCCCTCCAAAATCCATATGTGGAAGCCCTAACTCCCAATGTGACTGGATTTGGAGAAGGGCTTGTAGGAGGTAATTAAGGTTAAATGAGGTCATAAGAGTTGGGCCCTAATCCAGTAGGATTGATAGCTTTATAAAAAGAGTAAGATAGAGATCTCTCTCCATACACAGTCACCGAGGAAAGGCCATGTGAAGGAAGACACAGTGAGAATGATGCCATCTTCAAGCCAGGAAGAAAACTCTCATTGGAACTCTAGCATGCTTTGGACTTCTAGCCTCCAGAATAGTGAGAAAACAAATATATCTGTTGTTGAAACCATCCAGTTATGGCAGCCCAGGCTAAGACGTTTCCCTTCTCTAGTTCCTGTGTAGCACTCATTCCTCACTAATGTGTCTGCTTTTTTATTGTCTGTTTCCCTAACTCGAATATAAGCTCCATGATGACACAGACTTGATTCATTTGGTTCACTGCTGTGCCTGACATGTAGTTGGTGCTACATAAAATACCTGGTGAATGAATTAAATTAAAATTCCTGTCCTTCTGGATGTTTCAAAGTAATTTACAATTTGACCACTGGAAGCAATAATGAATCTAAACACTGTGATTCTTAAAATGGAGGTCACAACCAAATGTCCTGGGATCAAGATGGTTATTACATGTGACTCTCCTGCTATAAGAATGCTGAAAATGAAAAAGAAAATAAAATTAAAGGTTAACCTCCATAATGAATCATGGAGGGATCAGTTGCACAAGAAAAGACTTTTAAACTTGACAGATGAAATTATTTTAGGATTCGTTAAATTCAGTGTTTCTCGAAGAAATTGAAATCAGTGTGGTTACAGGACAGCCTGTGTCAGAATCATCTGTATGTATGTGTGTCGGCCTGTGTGTGTCAGTGCATTATTTGTGTGTACCTATGGGTGTCTGTGTGTATGTGTATGTGTCTTTGAGAAAGAGCTAGTCAACACTCAGATTCTTAGGCCTAGCCCCAGTCCTACTGAATCTGGCAGAATTTTTTGGGTGAGGCTCAGGAATCTGTGTTAACATGCTCATTGATGCTAGAGAACCACTGCTTTACATAGTAAGTTTCCATAGTGGAATTTTAAATGTGTTTCAATTCATCAGAATTTTAATTGGATTTCAGTGTTTTTCAGAACAGAGTTGAAGAGACCATTTATAAGCATACACTGAGTGTCTCCTGTTAGTTGGCACTGTACTCAGTCCTGGGGGTGGGGCAGGGAGGACACACAGATTAGTTAAGCTCAAAAAGGCACAACTGGATAAGGACTATCCCTTGGAAAGGGCAGGTCTGTGTGTCAGGGAAAGTGTGGGCTTGTAGGCACCTAGGAGAGGCTTGAGAGTCAGCTTCTGATTGCCCCCAAATTACCTTTGCCTATCTTCTAAGACACTGAGGGCAGGCTGGCAGTACATGTAGATAGGCAGTGTGGTATAGCAGACTCTGGAGTAGGACTGCATTTGAATACTGGCTCTGTTACTTATTTGAGGTCTTACCTGAGCAACTTTCTTGACCCCTCTGGGCCTAGGAGATTTAATTAGAGAATGCATGGAAGCAGTACTCCAGCACAAAATGAGCCCCCACCAAAATATGCAGCTATATTTTTTCCCTTCTAAGAGCCAGCCTCTGGCAACAATATTTAAACCTTTGAATCTTGTTCTTAAAGGCATTAACACTTTAAAGGCACAGGCTGTGACATAAGGACAGATCAGTAGTTCGTTTTAAAAAGTTCAATAATCGTAGAGAATATATGTTTGGTTTCTGTTTGAGCAAACTCAGTAGTTATTGAAGTATTTTTTACTGAACTGTGAAGCAAAAGACCATTAATACTTAGATCTGGTTTGGGATTTAGGAAATTAATGTGGTTTGTTTCTGTTTGAGATTCATGATTCCATTGGGTTTAGTCTCTGGGCAGAGCTTCCTCTGAAATTTCATCTTTTGCATTCTCAGCACTCCCACCCTCAAACCTCTGTAACTGCAGAACTCTCCTGTCAGACCCTACCACTACCTGATTCAGCTTCCTAAAACATTTAAAAAACGAAGTCATTCATTTAATCAAAACTCTTCCATGGCTCCCCATTACCTTTAGGAAAATATGTCAAAATTCCTCAGCCTCCCATAATCTGACTCCAAAATGGAGCCCACACTCTAGACAGGCTGGAGTCCTCAGAAGCCCCCAACTAGCCATGCTGGGCACTTATTCCAAAACTCTGCTCAGGTTTCTCCCCGTATGGAAGGTACCGTTTCTGTTTTCCACCTATCCTAATCTCTACCACTGCTCAAAGTTTTAATAGTTACCTCACTGGTGTCTTCTTCAAGAACTCCAATGCTCATTCATTAGCTTTCCCCCTTGCCTCTCATAGCCTCAGAGAGTCTGTTTTTCTAGTTTGGAACTTTGCATATGCAATAATTCGGTTATTTATTTAATCCAATGTTTATTGAGAGCCTACTCAGTACTGAGTACTATGCTGGGTACTGAAGCTACAACCAAGGTCAAGGTGGACATGATGTCTCTGTCTAGACTGTAACCTCTTGAGGGCAAAGGTCATCTTTTACCTACATTTGTGTCTCCCTCACTGCCTTTCACAGTGATAGAAATGTTATAGACCATCAATAGGTACTTGGTGAATGAATAACTGCGTTCAAAGACTGACCATTGCATTGATCATGTGACTGATTATTCAGTATGGGCTCTCATCCCCTTGCTCTCAACTTGCTGGGTGTGCCTGGAGAAACAGACAATCTCTTTGTGTTTCAGACCCCATTTAACAAAGTAAGAGGCAGCCGACTCTGGATAAGGCAGAAGGGCATACTTCTGCTCTTTGATAAGAACCTGGAACCATTTGTCAACTCTTGCTTGACAGGCTGTGACAAGGACAGCCTCTGTCCATCTCTCTCTCACTGCATGTATTCTAATCCCCCTTCTCACAATCTCTCTGGTAAATTGAGTTCCTTAAGAGAAAAATTATGTTTTATTGATAGGTATTCTTCTAGAATAGTCCCTGGCACATAGTAGGAGCTCAATAAAAGTTTGTCAAAGGAAGAAGTGAATAAAAATGAACTATCACCTTTCATTTTATTACCAGCTGAAGTAGTTCACAATCACCCGTTTCCTTTTCTTTAGATTATACACTGAAAACCAGTGATAATTGACTTGACCTCTCCAAAGCTGAGTAAAGTACTCTGAAAGGCTGCTGCTGAGGAGCTGTGTCCTAGAGAAAGCCACCTTTTTGCACAGGCTAAATAAAACAATCTATGTTTAGTATTAAAACCTCACTGCCCCTGACGTCAGAGAAGGTCTGTGGGTTTGAGGGGACAGTAGAAACTCTGTGTTTCCATAGCACTGTACAAATGACTGCCTGCTGTATTTGCTCCCACTGTTTTTTTTCCTGGCCTCCTTTCTAGGAAATGGACTGAAGGAGTTGGCAATTTATTTTAAAAAATAGGCTTTATGAGAGGAAAACAAATACTCATTTGGCAAAATTAAAACCTCGGAGCTTCAGAATGCTTGTGGCAAGCTATATCTAGGCCTGGAGTATAGGTCTCCTTGGCACTGGCTGAATAAAGCCTTGGATCAAGATAAAACTTTTTCCTCTATTGTAGGATCATCACCACTTAAGTCTCATGGCCTTGGTTTATGACCTAGTGGGATGGTTTCCAGATGAAAAACTTAGTAAGTGCTTTTCTAGTGGCCTTGCCCTTGGGATCCTAGCATGACAGACTTTGGAAAGGGCCTTGACTGCTGCCTGGAACTGGTCATCAAGCATCAGGTAGGTGAAGACCATTTCTAGGTTTGAAGATCTTTAAGAGCAATGTCCCTGTGATCCCTCTTATTTGCTTAGGCCCATATTTTATTTTCCTGGTGAAAAAGATGTTCCTCTTTTTGTTCCTTTTCAACAAATGTCACTCCCTTTTCATCAGGTCTTTACTCATGCCTGGTCCTATGCTGGGTGGGGCCTGGGGATCTAGATAACATGAAGTCATGTTCACTACCTTCATTGAGCCCAGAATTTAGCACAGCTCCTCAAAAAATTTCCTTTAGAGCCTTGAAGATACTACTATCATAACTTGCTTTAAGGAAGAAATTCAGTTATTATGAAGTTTAGGTCGACAGAAAAATAAACTGGGCTTGAGTCTCCACTTAAAAAAAAAAATCTCCAAAGGTCTCAACTAAATGGAATTTAAAGTAGGATTTAGTTTATTCAAACCTTTGTCAGAAATACAGCTAATTGCAAAAAGAAAGGTGTGTCTGCAAGGAATCACTTCTCAGCCTTCTCAGTGTTTCCTTCTGGGATCTCAGGCCCCATTCTAGTCAGCTCCCAACCCCACCCCAGGAGCCCATGAAGATAGAAAGGAGAGGAAAACAAAAAAGAGAAAGGAAGAGGCCATCAAGACGGGAGAGGAGGGAAAAAGAGAGGGAAGGGCAGAGCAGGGGAGGGAGGGATAAAGAGAGGCAATAGGAAAAAAAGCAAAAGAACCCCAATTTCCCTGGGACCTATTTTACATTCCTTTGATCATTTTTGGAAGGATGGGCTTAGGAAGTACAATTATAGCCAGCTCTCAATCACTGCTGCTAGGGAGGGAAGTCCTTTACAAGTGTTAGTTATTATTATAATATGAAGAATTGAATCTCCCAGGTAATCCCCAAACCTCATTTGAGTCTTTAAGTTTTCTTTCCTCTGCCAAACCTTTAAACAAAATGAGACTGGTGCTAGCAAAGAATTTAAAGAGCTGGTGTGAGTTCACCCATTCTCTACCCTGTCTCCAATCTGTTCTTCTGTCTGGTCTTAATCCACAATCTAGAGAAACTACCCCCTCCCTCAGTACAGAGAGTAGGGAATGTGAGTGAGGAGGGGGCTGCATCCATCTGACCTCTTGATCTAGCTCCATTTAGGCTCTTTCTGCCAACTCCCAACTCTCCCATTCTTCCCTCCCTCTCCTGGCACTCAGCACTTCTGCACTGAGGGTCTAGAGAAAATATATGCATGGGTAGGAATTGGCTGATACACCCCACAGGCAGGGTTATTCACTTATGCTCTGTCAATTGTCATTTCTGTCAATTCCACTTTCTAAATTGCTCTTGAAAGCATTCCTTGCTTTTATTGTCTCCAAATCAACTTAATCCAGGTTCTATTCTTTTTGGCCTAAACTCTTGCAGTGACCCCCTAGCTGCCTCCTTTTTAAGCACTCAAATCTATCTTCTATACTATACCCTTCAATGGCTCCCAATTGTTTAAGGGTCAAGTCCAAAGGCATTTCTATGGTCAAGGAGCCCTCCATGATTTGACCTGTGACTACAACTCTGCTCTTATCTCCTACCACTTTTTATAACTGTACAACTATCCCACCCCCACAATTCCTGGGAATACCTGCCCCACTTCCACCCACATTTGATTTGTTTCCTAACTCCCTACTTATATATTTTTTTCTTTATTGGTTTTTAGAGAGAGAGGAAGGGAGAGGGAGAGAGAGACAGAAATATCGATTAAAGAGAATATCAACTGACTGCCTCCTGCATGTCCCCCACTGGGGATCAGGCCCACAACTTGGGCATGTGCCCTGACTGGGAATCGAACTGGCAACCTCTTGGCGCATGGGTTGATGCTCAACCATTGAGCCACACCAGCTGGGCCCTACTTATCTTTTAAGTTTCAGTTCCCACATCAACTCCCCCTTGACACTGCCCACCCCCAGCAACTCTGACTTTCAGTCATTTGGGTTGCCAGTGTCCCAGTACATCCACCAATTCCCCACCACACTTATCACTCTATATTGCAAATAATTGTTCACATGTCTGTCTTCCCTACTAGTCAGTGAGCTCCACAGTAGTAGTCTCTGTAGTCCTAGCTCTTAAATATGTTTTGAAATAAGATAAATGATGTTTTCACAATTGGAGGACAGAGAACCAGAATGGTTGTAGCAGAAACAGCGCCAAGCCTGTTCCTGCCTCATGACCTTTGTACTTGCTGTTCCCACTGCTTGAAATACTCTTTTCCCCCAGTTATCTACTTGGGTTGCCCTCCCACATTACTCAGTTTTCTGCACAAATGTCACCTCCTCAATGAGGCCTTCCCTGGGTACTCCATCTAACACTGTGCACATATTCCCCTCCTGTCACTATCTATCTGCCTTTACTACTTCATATTTTTTCAGAGCTCTGATCAATACCTGGCATGATATATAGGGTGGGGCAAAAGTAGGGTTACAGTTGTGAGTACACAAAACATGAAGTTTATTCTTCTATTATTATTTATCAATTATTGTATTGTTTTCCATTCAAACAACTGTAAACTTACTTTGCCTCACCCTGTATATTCATGTTTATTGACTGTTTTCCCTAATAAAATATAAGCTCCAAGAGGGCAAAGATTATTGTTTTGTTTGCTGCTGAATCTCCAGTGTATAGAATAGGGTGAAGCAGAGAGAAAGTGCTCAATAATGACTATTCAGTATTGTTGAACTTGGACTTAGAACTGTGTTTGAACCCTATCTATCCCATTTTCAAGTTCTGTGTGACCTTGGGTTAGTTGTCTGTTTCCACTGAGCCTCACTCTCATCATCTGTATAATGGGGATAATAATTCTACAGACATCATAGACAAGAATAAATGAGATCAAATACTTAAAAGCATTTAACATGCTGCCTGGCACAGAGAAGGCAGGTAATGCATGTGAGCGGAAATCTATTGACCAACCAGTGTCTTCTACTTCTCTGATCCCTCTGGTGTACCTTTCCCCTATCCTAGGCCTTCTGTCATACACTGTGATCAAACCATTATTCCCATGCCTGGGGGCTCCGCTCTTACTTGCCACAGTTGTAGAGGTCACAGCAGAAGCAGGTGTTACCCCGGATGCGGATGTGAGGTGTGCAGACTTCATGACTGAGGTGAGGGCAGTTCACCTGAGGGCACACAACAGTGAGGAGATGAGCTGGCATTACATGGGAGGCAGGACCCTCTGGGGTTGGAAATGTGAGTTAGCGACTGATGGAGATGGTAAAGATGGCTGTGAGATTTCACACCAAAGTGTGAGAGGGATGGGGCAGGGCAGGGGACTGTCTGAATTGTGCATGAGGCAAGTTACTGTGCAGCTGGGCTCACATCCAGCTTCAGCCACAGCCCTCAGTGCCCCATCCCTGAAGAGTGAAGATGGAGAGGAGGAAGGAGAGGTGGAAGGACAGACAGAAGAACAAACGGACAGTAGGAAATGAGGATATGAGGGGAAAGCAAATCAGGGTATGGGAGGAAAGGGGACCAGATGAAACTGAAGACAGAGGGACTGTCACATGCACTCTGAAGTACACTGGTACCTCTCTAGCTGCCTGGGTAAGGTTCCTCATAACCCTCGTGGAAGGAGCATTTTTGGTTGAGGAACTTATGACCTTATATAGGAAAAATAGGGGGATTAGGGTTACTAGTGAACCTATGGAAGTCATTATTACATTTTCACAGTCACCAAATTGACACAAGGAAGCTATCATGACAAAATCAAGAGAAGAGCAATGACATTTTACACATCTTGAGTTGGCAAAAAGTTTTAAAGATTAATTTCCATTTACCATCTCATGTTGGTAAGAAATTTTTCAGGCTTTCTCTCCCATATGGATGCAATGAAGCGCTTGTAAATTTGTTTTGTTGTGTTATAGAGAATATTCGTAAATGAGCATTTTTTTCTATATTTGGTCTTTCATTCAAATGTTCACGGCCTTTCTGATAAGCACACACATTGCTATACCTCCCTTCTAACCTTAGGTTAGTTAGAAAAATGGTAAGGTTGTGATTGGGGAAAGAAAAAGAAGGCAAGTAGGTGGTGGGACCACAAAAAAAAGTATTTGTCTTGATGCCTTGGAAGCAGGGCTAACACTTTGCTTAAATCCAAGGGCACCATTCATATAATATTTTATGTAGAATGGCTTCCCCTGAAGTTGTGCAAAGCAGTGGCCATTTTATATCTACTTGCCTCTCTTTTCTCCCAATCACAAGTTTAAAATTTTCTATTTGGCAGAGGAGTGGGGCTTACTTTCAATTTGATGTTAACAGAGAACCAAATTGTCAAGGTTCCTAGAAACACATAATAGAGTTTCCTATGAAAGTGATCTCTGGGTTGCAGGGGACTATTGTGTACTGAAATGAAAGCTCCCTGAAAATGACCTGAAACCATGCTTCACCTCACTGCCTACCACCTCTAGTTCTACATGAAGGGACATGGAACACAAGGAGAGCTGTGTAGGTTAGGAGAGAGATACTCTCATGTACCCTTTCAAGCATTATCAGGCTGGCCCCATGGAAGGGGCCAGGCCAATAGTCTAGCCATCTCCAGAGCCTCCATGGGAACCAGGCCTCTCAATAACCCTTATTTGGCTTCCTGACCCCTTGTGTGTGTGGGGGACTCAGGCTCTGCCCCCCTAGTCTAGGCCTAGTGCTTTGGTGGGGCTCCTGCTTTTCTTCCAGCTTGGACACCTGAACCACAGGCAACTGAACCATTCTCCACAGAGATGGGGGAGGACCCTGCCCTGTGTCCTCTGTTCCTCTTGGGATCAAAGTCACAAACTGAGAGGGAGGCTGCCTGCAGGGTCAGAGGGGCAGCCTGTGGCCACAGAACAAAGTGAATCAGATTAGGCCTCATGAGGCTCCAATCTATGACCATGGCCTTATTAGCACTGTTCTCTGATTCACTGAGAAAATCAACTACTGATACCTAGCAGCCAGCCTTAGCCCCTGAAAATGAGTAAAAGAAAAAAGGTTTTAGGCAGGACAGGAGACTTTCCCGAAAGGTAAGACATATTGCCTCATTCTGGCTCACCTCCTCAGCTTCCTTCTGGGACGTCTTGGGGACATAGTGGCACCGGTTAGCGTAGAGTGGTTTCAGATCCTGGAAAGGGAAACACCAAACCAAAGGGGTTTTGGCTTTGGAAAATAAAGCAGCCAAGTGCTCTGATTGGTAATAAAAGACTTGAAAACACACACACACACACACACACACACACACACACACACACCCCACGCACACAGCAGGCAGTGGGTCAGGTTAATTTATGAAAGCTGCTCATCTTGGAAGCCCTAGAATGTGAGGATCAGATAAAAATGTTCTAATAACTGCTTTCCATTGGACCACTTAGTTAATAGGAAATTAGGAAATTGGTTGAGAAATGGGTTTCTGAAAATTTCCTCTCTGGTTTTCTTTTATTTCTAGTTTTTGTCTTCTTGCAAAGAGTCTCCAGGAAATAAGATTCAAAACTCTAGGTTATTGCAACATCATACTCCTAAATGGGGATGGGGGTTGGGGCAGGGGAGACAACGTAGCTCTAACAATGAGGTCTCATTATCACCTGAGGCCAGGACCAGGGCTGGCTGACATGTACTCCTTGCTGTCATGGCCACAGCTTTTCCAGAAGGAAGAACTCAGGAAGCAAGCCCCAAAGAGAGGGGCAGCTACTGAGACTTTAATTCAACTGAACTATGAGCAATTTTCACTCTATTACACAAATTAAACAAAGACAGTGAACTCCAAAAATACTGCTAAAGCCCAGAAAACTAACATAGGATTCAAGGACAGTTTATTTGACCCACTGGTCTGGCTAGCTTCCTGGTAAGGAAGCACTCAGGCACAGGGTGCAGGGGGGCAGGGGTTGGCATAGAACAGATAGATACAATCCAGTGCTGTCTGGATGCTTGTAGGTAGGGGATATTGTTAACTTTCAGGGTAACACTAAACATCCCCTGAGTGGGAGGGAGCTTGAGCCAAAAGACAAGGCAAGATGACATTAAAGGGCCTCAAAAACAGGAAAAGCTGGTTCTAACCCACCCAAGCAGTGCTAAGGTCAAAATGTGCCTTTAATTTAAACTGGCCAACAGATATCAGCATAGATTAATAAAGCCTCCTTTCTCAAAACTCTCTGGGTATCAGTGAGGACTGGCAGATGTCTTAGGACAGGTACACTGGAAACACAAAGGTTTTCTTGAAGATTCATACAGCCTTACCCCAACCCTCTGAGTCAAACGTGCTACTTCAGGCCATTAACTGTAGAAGGTACACAGGGCCTGGAGTCAGAGGCAGGTAGAGGTCATCAGAGGAAACTTCTAGTAAATATAATTTGGATTTTTCCCCATTGCCTTTGACTGAGGCCAATAATAATAATAAAAAAAAACAACAACCAGAAAACATTAAGAGTTTCAGGGAAATGCAAATCAAACCACAATCAGATACCACAACATACCCACTAACCCACTAGAATGGCTAGAATTGAAAAGTCAAATAATAATAAGAATTAACAAGAATGTGGAGAAACTGGAACACTCATACACTTCCAGTAGGAATGTAAAATGGCACAGCTACTTTGGAAAACTATCTGGTAATTCCTCAAAAGGTTAAACATAGTTACCATATGACTCAACAATTCCATTCATAGATATCTAGCCAAGGGAAATGGAAACGTATGCCCATACAGAAACATGTACATGAATGTTTACAGCAGCACTATTCATAATAGCCAAAAGGTAGAAACAAACTAAATGTCCATCAGCTGCACAAACAAAATGTGGTATATACACACAATGCAATATTATTAACTTGTAAAAAGAAATGAAGCACTGATACATGCTATAACATGGATGAACCTTGAAAATATACTAAGATAAAGAAGTCAGGTCACAAAAGACCACATATTGTATGATTACATTAATATGAGATATTAATTAATATAAGGAAATCTATAGAGAAAGAAAGTAGTTTTGTGGCTGCATAGGACTGGGGGACTAGGGGCATAGGGAGGTGACAGCTAAAGGGTATGGGGTTTCTTTGGGGGATGATGAAGATCTTCTAAAATTGATGTGGTGATAGTTTGTACTAACTGTGAAGATAAAAAAGCCAATGAATTGTATACTTTAAACGAGCGAACTATATAAGATGTGAACCATATCTCAATAAAGATGTTTAAAAAGTTATAGCGTGAAAGGAGGAGGAAAATGGAAGAAGCCATTTTAGCTCATGATACCATAAAAATCTACTGCAAGCTTCTTGGCCGCAAGGCATATGTTGCCATGGAGAGTGCCTCACAGTGAATACTGCTGGTCAAATGTAGATAATAATGCCTGCCCTACATACTTCATAGGATTGCCGTGGGTTTAAAATGAGATAATACATGTGAAGGCACAATGAAAAGCTAAATGCACTATGTAAAAACAAGGCATTGTTATCAAGATGGCTCCTGTTGAATATAAAATAGCATGCATACTATGATTGAGAGTAACCATGCTACAAAAATAGGTATGTGCCTGACCAGTGTGGCTCAATGGTTGAGCATCGACCGATGAACCAGGAGGTCGCCAGTTCAATTCCCGGTCAGGGCACATGCCCAGATTGTGGGCTCGATCCCCAATGGGGGGCATGCAAGAGGGAGCCAATTGATGTTCTTTCTCATCAATGTTTCTAACCTTCTCTCCCTCTCCCTTCCTCTCTCTCTAAAATCAATAAAGAAAAATAGGTATGTACTCTGAGGGTAATATGTAAAAATGATAAGAATTGGTATATTAGGGTAGTAGGATTATTGATAAGTTTCTGATGTGTCTTTTGCCTTTTTAAGAAGAAAAATATAAAGAATAAGATGGCTCTCACTAAAATCAGAAGGGATGGGTCTGATATAAGGACCTATATTTACATTCCTGGCCCTGAAAGAAAATTAGGCAAAAGGCCTCTCGCTCCCACCTTTTTCTTTGATCCCTTTGCAGAAATTATTTCCGGAGATGCCATTTCAGAGACTGCCTGGGTGGCAACATTGACCATATGAGTTCCTCTAATCTTGGCAAAGGAGAGACTAACTCTTATGTCTGGGAGGAGGATTCAAGAACAAGTTGAAATTGAAACAATAATGTTGCAAATCATCCTTTTCCATATCCATGACACTCCCTCAGGATGACCTTCACTATTAGCCAATGACTGAAAATGAATTAGTATCACTGATCACCCTGGCCGGTTTGGCTCAGCGGATAGAGCTTTGGCCTGCGGTCCTGAGAGACCGGGGTTCGGTTCCCGCTAAGGGCGCGTACCTGGTTGCAGTTTGTCCCCGGCCCTGGTCGGTTGTGCGGGTGGCAGCCACTCGATGTGTTCCTTTCACATCGATGTTTCTCTCTCTCTCTCTGTTCCTCTCTCTCCCTCCCACTCTACCTGAACAAAAAATGAAAAAATGTCCTCGGGTGAGGATTAAAAAAATAAATAAATAAATAAATAAATAAATAAATAAATAAATAAATAAATATCATTGATCCATGGAAGATCCTGATAATACAATTTTGCTCCAATTCAATTGTTTTAGAAAAACAAACAAACAAACAAACAAAAAGTCCAACTAGTTCATGAGTTGTTTTCATTTTCAATGTTGGTTCAGTTGGAATCAAATGAGTATTTGAGTTTATTTTGGGGGCTTAGTGATTTGCTGTGGGTTGATTTTTGTTTGTGAGACAGATCAGAACTACATTATGACTTCCCTGGGACTTAGGCACTTTTGCCTTTGTAAGCCCCTTCCTCCATTAAAAATATTGAAAATTATATATATTTATTTTAATTATATCTTTTTATTACATTGACATATATTTATATTATATGTGAAAACGTTCTTTTGACCTAAAAGTGCATAATTTTCTTCTGATTTGAAAAGAAATAATGATATTTTTATGGGCCCCTGAAAGTAGTGTGGATCATAGTCACTTGTGCCTATTGTGTCTAATGGGGAAGTCGGCCCTAGGCCAGATGTCTGGAATAGTATGTAATGGAAAGTGCTGAAAAGGGGGCAAGGGCTCCTACAGAGAGCCACATGGGAATGCCCTGAATCCTAGACTTCCCCAGAGAACAAGCACAGGTTTGGGTTTCAGGAGTAAAATGGCCTTTCTCAAGGCACAGACTCTAATGTTAGAAGCATTTGGCATCTTAACATCAGGACTGGGCTCTGAGTGAAGGCTTCTAGTTCTGGGGCTTCCAAAAGACCCCAATCACATCTCTACTCTCCAATCACTGCTGTAGGGACAGCAAAGTTCAGGCATCTGAGAAGAGGTGACTGTGTCCTCATGGTCTGCTCTTGTTGCTGTTGAAGGAAAGAGAGGCCATCTATTGAAAGCTTCAAGTTTCTTAGGAAGTCATATGGCTCCTTGCTCCTCTCTCCCTACCTTCTCTCTACCAACATCAGTTCCAAGCCATTCCCCCAGTCCCACTGCCCTTGTCTTTGCCTTTCCAAATGTCACCCAAGTACCAAAAATTTAGCTCGAGCCTCACCACTACTGGGAAGACTGCCCTAACCTCTGCAGTTCAAGATAAATCACTCTGGCACTTAAGGTGTACTCTCAGCTCAGATCCAGTTCTCTAGATGCCTGTGTGTCCATGGGTGTCCTGATCTTGACTGTCTGTTCCTTGATACAGGGATCCTGTCTTCTCTTTCTTCTGTTCCCCTCACAACATTCGGCACACATCCAGCACAGACTCAGTGAAGCCTTGCTGTAGTGCACACTTACTTTAAGCCAGGAATAAAAATACTCACAATGTGTCTGGCAGCAAAGACCCCGTCGACTATGGCACAGCAAAAGGCTGCAATCACACCAAAACTGATAAAGACAATAGAAGCCACCAACTGCAGAGGGAACAAACCAAAAGCATCTGTTAACTTTCCACTCTTGAGGCTTCTGGAGACTAAATGATCCCCAAGAGACTGCCAGCCAAAGCAGAATTCTGGCTTGCCATCCCCTGAGGATGCTCTTTGCAGTCATACAGGGTGAGTGGGAGCTGAGGAAGGAAGAGGCAGAGAAGGGGCCAATGAAGTACCTTTTACGTTTTCAGGGCAACAGAAATTCACAGTCTGTGAGCACCAAAGGAAGAGGAGGTTTGCTGTATCCAGCATGCTGTCCATGGTGGAATTTAAATATGTGACTCTTCTATTCTCAGACCCAAAAAAGTGTTGGAGCTTTGACATCATGTAGTCCAATCCTATTTTATTTATTGTGAAATTAGAAGCTCAGAGAGGGGAAGTGGTGTGTGTGTTCAGAATCACCATCTAGTCCACAGAAGAGTCTGGTGCCTACCAATTCCTAGTCCATTGTTCTTCCCAACCCTCATAGTGGGCACTGAGGAATACAGGAATGATTCTAAGGCCCCGAGTAACTTTACATGGCCTTTTGCATCATTGAGGAAAGAGAACATTCAACCTAAGACTTAAATGTCAAACACATTTTACAAAGGTCGAAGCCTCTGAAACTGATCAACCCTGTGCGGTGCATATGAAAAATTTCAAGTAAGAAACATGTTTGCTTGAACCAGACTGCCCTATTCTCTGACCATGTTAGATAACAGAAATATTCCTAATAATTTGTCTTCCATTACAAGGGTGATACTACAACCCAATATGGGAGTAGGTATTTCCAGGGGCATGTATAGGTGCTGCCTGGGCCCACCATCTGCCTGTGTTGACCCTCAGAACTAGATGGATTCAGTGTTTTTCTTCCTTGAGGTGTTTGTGGAAAAATGGAGGAAGTAGCATGGCATTAAGCAGCTCTCCATGAAGAAGGAGGAATCAAAGTCAAAGCCACCCTAAGTTTCTCCCACCTCAACAGGCTAAGAGGAAATGCTTATCTCCTTTGGGAGTTGTTGAGAAACCTCTCCCCATAAATCTCACTTCACAGCACTAAAGAGAGTTGGTAAATAATGGATGAACAATGTCATAAAATTGGCATTATTAGCTATGCTATGATCAGCTCTACAACTAAAACTCCCCTATTATTTTGAATAATTTAGGTCCAAAGTGCAAACACTACTGGCAGGGGGCAGGCCAGGTGAAATGGAAGACAAGAACTATTAGAACACCCCTGAGGGCGATTCCCCACATTGCTGAGGGAGAACATATAGTTAGAGTTCTCTGTCCCTGGAGCTATTACATTATCTGATTAAACTTGCCGTTAAATAGACCCCATTGTCAAAATCAAGATGCCACAGAGATTTATACTGGGGGAGCCTAACAGCCCACCATCTGTCCACTCACTAGGCACCTTGATTTACAAGTCTTATAAAACTGCAGTATGCTAGCAATTTGGTCTGTACCTTCTTCTCCTGCCTTCTAGGAAGCTTTCTCAAACTGAACCAGGAAAATGCAACAGATTGCCCTTGTGGGCCCCCATTAGGACATAGGGCTTTCTAAGCTTTATCTCCTGTTATATATGCTCGTTCTCCATTTTAAACGTACAACAGGCTTAACTTTGAACTATACGTAATGGAAATACTTTAGGGCTCCATAATTTTATTTTGTCTTCTATGTGCCCTAGGTATATTTGTTCTCTTAATCAAAGTACCCTAGATTATAATCTCCTAAAAAGTGGGAACCCTCTGTGAAAACTTTCTCAAAAAATTATGCATCAGAGAGGAAGATGGGAGAGTCACCAGTAATCCAGGACTGTGGCAAAGAAAATCACAGAAGCAAAGGCATTTTAGGCAAGGACAGTTGTCTGACTGGATAGGCTGGGTAGCCCTTTGGGAGTGAGGAGGAAAGCTAAGGACAAGATCCAAAATATTCTATCCCTGTGATTTAAGGAGACCAGCTAGACCACTGAGGGAGCATCAGACAAGATGAGAACAAGTCCCATACCACAGGGTCACTGAAAAGTAACCTGGAGGCTTAAGCAAAAAGGCAAAGTAGCAGTTTCTTTTGTGACCCAATTTGGGCAACCTTAAGAAATGTGTTACTTTCAGATTAAGAACTTGATTCCACAGTAATGAAAACTTACCATCTGCCGCTTATTTTCAACAAGGTTGGATCCAATGATTCCAAGGAATGATCCAAAGCCGAGCTGCAAAGCAACATGGCACACAATCATTCATCTCCTGGATATGATTCGGGGTAGCGGAAACTAACTAGGGTATAGATGCTAAAACCACATGCAGTTGTTATTTATACAAATAAAGTATGTGCAATAAAAGTATTTCCCCACCACTTGCCAATTTTTCCTTGTAGATATGAATCACGCCTAAAAAGAAATGCATGTGCCCCAAAACTAAAAGTCAAAATCAACCATAGCTTTTCAGAGCATACTTATTTCAATTTCATAATCCAGCCCTGGCCAGTTTGGCTCAGTGGTTGGAGCGTTGGCCTGCGGACCAGATAGTCCCAGGTTCGGTTCCCGCTAAGGGCACGTACAAAAAAAAAAAAAAAAAATCCATTACCTAGCTTGTGACTGGTGAATCAGTAAGAGACATATAATGGTAAAAAGCACACATTATATTCTGATCTTTATCCTTTTTTTAAAAAGTGAACTTCCATCTGATGCATGGATTACTAAATAAAGGTTTGAAATAGCAATTTTTGATGCATCTAGCACACTAATAAAACCCAGGAAGTACTTTAGAATTCAGCAAGCACCTTAACCTAAACTTAAAAAGAAAGAACAATTTTTTTGAAGCCTGTATTTGTGGTTGACCTGCTGCAATTTATGTTAGTACTTATTCACATCTTCTTCCATCTCTGCTTCATTTATGGACAGAAAGCATTCATTAAAGGGCAAACAGAAATGGCAGCGTAAAACCCTGAAAAACAATTTCCCTGTCTAAGTGGCTGGGATGTTGGCTCAGTGTAGCAGGTCCCACTTTCGTCTCAGTTTTGCCATTAGTGGACCAAGTCTGCCAGTCTCAGCTGAAAAACGATAACTAACAGATGGCTGTAGATGGGGATGAAAATGAAAAGTAAAAAGTGGTGAGAATGGACCAGTAAATCTTAACACAAGTTCAGCAATGTAGTTACATATCTCTTTAGCCTCACTAATGGTCTGGGTTTCCATCTGCAGCCTTACCTTGGCTCATGGGGGCATCTATTTCAATCTGAGGCTCCAAGTTTTACACCTAGGCTTGGAACGTGAATGGACCCATGGGCTGGGCAGGAGTTTGGTAGGGCTGTGTACAGGGATTGGGTGCTTGTGTCAGAAACCCCAGAATGAAAGAGAATGAAGGGAAGGGATGAATACAAAATTACAAAGACTCACACTGCAATGCCACTCAGCCAGAAAACCCTTTTGGAAAATAGAAGCTGAAATGCTTAGGGGTGTACAGATCTCATGCCATCCAAGACTCTACCGAGAACATCCTCACCCAACAGTGAAACTATACCTATGTCCCACCTGATCTTATTTTAAATGTAATTAAAATGTGTTGTCATAAAGCATACTGATTAAAACCTGGTTATAAAAAAAGATAAACAATAACAACTAAAACCTGATTATCAGACTACCTTGGCTTCTAACCCCAGATTATGTTCTACTTATGTTTGTGTGATCTTGAACAAGCTGATTGACCTCTCTAAACCTCAGTTGTAGGGCTTGTATAAGGATTAACTAGGATGATACATTCAAAGAACTTTGCATAGTGCCGGGCACACAGTAAGTACACAGTAAATATTAACTACTCTTCTAGTGATTATTATTACTATTTTTAAAGACATTTAACTTTTGAGCAGTTCTAACCTGATTTGAGCTAGAAACTCCTGTCATTATTTGCTTTGTTTCATAATAAACTTTCATGTTCTATCTTATCCACGGCTTTTATTTTTTAGGAAGAACTCCATGAATCGTCTGTGCTTATTGCACTCTGGACCACTGTGGAGATTGAGAGATAGTTGGAGGCATCTTCTTACATGGAAAATAAATCCTTTTACTGAGGAGTTCAGTTTCCACAGATATTCACAGAATATCTTCTGGATGCCAGCAGCAGTCTGCCTTAAGATGGGGAAAAAAGACTCTAGCTATTTCTGCACTCTCAAATGGCTCTCTAATGGCAGTGACCAGAAGAGGTGGGCTGAAGTCTCATGGAATTGACTGGCAAGACAAGGCACTTGGACTGGAAATCTCAGGCCAGCGAGTTACTTCATCCAGTTCCCTTGTGTTTCCTTCTATTTCATTCTGTTCCATTCCAACTCATTCAATTTTCTAACATTTACTGAGTACTTTTGTCAGATAAATAAGGAGACATGGCCCTGCCCTCCAGGAACTCATAATCTAGTGAAGGAGAGACAGACTGTGGGTTAAGGACTACAGGTTTAAACAAAGTGTTATAGGAGCAGAAATAATTCATTTTTTATGGTATCCCTGGCTTTGTTACTTATAAATTATGTGACCTTGGGCGAGTCCTTTAACCACTCTGTGCTTTGGTCTCCTCATCTAAAAAATGGAACTCATAATGTACCTATCATACATGGCTGCTATGAGGATTAAACGAAATAAGGTACAGGCATACTTTGGAGATATTGTGGGTTTGGTTCCAGGCCACCGCAATAAAGCAGGTATAGCAGTAAAGCAAGTTGTAATCTATTTGCTGGTGGAGAGCCTTGCCTTCAATTTGTAAAACACACAACATCTGTGAAATGCAATAAAGCAAAGTGCCATAAAACATGGTATGTCTGTATGTAGTGTGACTTGCATAAAGGAGACTGCTAAATACATGGTAGGTCTAAGATTTCACAGAGGAGGAAACATTTAAACATGAGCTTAAAGGAGAGGTAAAGTTCACCAGGCAGGAAACAAATGTCTATTGAATCCTGGCTGGAAGAATTCACTCACCTAGATGACAGGTTAATGAACTCACCAGTGTCGCTAAAACTACCTTACATTTGAAAAGCATTTTAATTTAGGGAAGTACTTGTCCTCCATTTTGATCACAGTAATGTTTTTGAGTTTGGTAGAGCTCATATCATTCCCATTGACAGAAAGGAAAATGGAGGCCTAGAGAATTGATGGACACGTCCCCTTTTACAGCAAGTTACTGGCGGGGCCAGGACTTGCCTTCAGGTCCCCTGACTAACAGCCAGGGTACCTTCAACCATTTTTTGCTGCATTTGTGGCCAGTGTTCGTAGCTGCCCCCCAGGGAAGAAGTTCTCTGTAGGGATGAAGTAAGAAGTCATATTTGAGGAAGAGCTAACGGGTTGAAAGTAAAGAAGAAAAAAAATCAACAGAATTTCCTGAAAATGGGCAGCTGCTTCTAATCAACTGTTTGCTTTCCTGAGGCCTCAGAAAGGTCATATCTAAAGGGATTACTCATGTACTGTTGGTGGGAATGCAGTATGGAGTTACCTCGAGAAATTACAAATGGAACTGCCTTATGACACAGCAATTCCACTTCTAGGAATATATCCGAAGAAACTTGAAACACTGATTTGAAAGAATAGATGCACCCCTATGTTCACTGCAGTGTTATTTACAATAGCCAAGATTTGGAAGCAGCCCAAGCGTTCATCAGTAGATGAGTGAATAAAAAAGTTGTGGAACATTTACACAGTAAAATACTACTCAGCCATAAAAAGAAAAGAAAAGAAAATCTTACCCTTTGCAACAGCATGGAAGAACCTGGAGAGTATTATGCTAAGTGAAATAAGCCAGTCAGAGAAAGACAAATACCATATGATTTGTGAAATCTAATTAACAAAATAAACTAACAAACAACATAGAAACAGACTCACAGATACAGAGAACAGATGGATAGCTGTCAGAGAGGAGGAAGTTTATGGGGCTGGGTGAAAAAGGTGAAGAGATTAAGCAAAAGAAACACACACACACACACACACACACACACACACACACCCCTCATAGACAGACAACAGTATGGTAATTACCAGAGGAAAAGGTGGTGGGGAGAGGTAGAAGAGGGTAAAGGGAAGATAAATGGTGACAGAAGGAGACTTGACTTGGGGTGATGAACACACAATACAATATACAGATGGTGTATTATAGAACTGTACACTTGAAACCTATACAATTTTATTAACCATTGTCACCAGAAAAAAAAAAAATTCAATAAAAAGAAAAAAACAAAATAGAAAAGTAATCTCTGTGGTCACTCCTCAAGAATTGCATGGATTCATGGAATGTTCAGAACTTTGAACTTCCAGCTTGATTCCCTTTTACCTGAACAAATAACCAGCTTGCTTTGTTTTGGCTACCCTCCATTTGTAAAAGAAAAAAGACAAATTATTAGAATTCAAAGTTAGAGTGTCAAAGGTTCTTTTAGGGCTGGGCCTTATAACCTATACCTATTTCCATCCACTGCCCCGAAAGACCCAGTGCTGAGGCTCAGAAGGATTAGTCATTCAGTACACATCAGTTGGACACTGTGTTGGATCTGTGATTTGGAGGCCAGGAGGTGGGGTGGGTATGATACCAAGACCAATAAAATTCAGCCTCAGGAACTATAATTAGGTAAATGGGTCCACAATCTCTTTCCATAATCCTGAAATCCACAAAATTCTTGAAATCAAAAGTTTTTTTGTTTTTTTTTGTAACTAATTTGGTGGCAAAACCAGACCTTGAATAGATATGAGGTTTTATTATTTAAAAAAAATTTTAACTGATTTTTAGAGAGAGAGGCATGGATAGAGAGAGGAAGAAACATCATTTCGAAATATCCTGCACCCCCGCCCCCACTGGGGAAGAAGCCCAAAACCCAGGCATGTGCCTTGACCAGGAATCAAACCGGCAATCCCCTAGTGCACTGAATGGTACCCAACCAACTGAGCCACACCAGCCAGGGCATGATGTAAGTTTTTTTTGTTTTTAATCATCTTATCGACTCAGTATAAAAAAGTCACAGTTTATTGTCGAAATATGAAGGTGCTCAATTATGAGGTGTTTCTCAAGACCCCACTGGGATGTTAGATAACATATAATATATACACTATATTGTTTTCTAAAATAAAAGAGTCTAAACTCTCAAACACATTTGGCCCAAAACAAGGGTTAAGATAAGAGATTGTGGACCTGTATAAACAAAGCTAAATGAGTATATAGTCCAACATCCCACAAAGCAGGATGT